TTTGAATGTATACAAAAACGATATATATTTTCATCTCCAATGTATGTTCTAGACTGAATCTATATATATAGAGAGATATGTAGGTGGCTGATAAGGGGTTCCATTTGGAGAAAAAAAGAATTTTTTATCAAAATGCGATGTGACTGAAATAATTCATCGATTCAAGACACAAACAATATTTTTTCTGAAAAAAATATGTTCCCCCACTATGTGGAACTCATTGTGAAAAGCCTTGATCACATCATCTCATTTATCCACGAGGTGGAATGAAAAAACATTTTTAATATATACAGTGTGACCCATTTAAGATGGAAGCACCCTTATAAAACTTACATTTTTCAACCGATTGGAATGATTTTTTTTTGTTAGGTAGATATTCAAAAAGTCTATTAGGACACCAAATATCATGAATAAATCTCCATTTCCAGGGCCAACTAATCTGATTTTTCAAGGTCAAAAATCTAAAAAAATTACTAGCGATTTTTTTAGAAAAAATCTGACTACACCACTGGATTTGTGACATTTTCAAATGGGTAACATGTAAATTACGTTGAAATGCGTCAATCAATAAAAAAGTTATAAAGGAATGAAATTTGAAAAATATGCCGTTTTCAATGAAAACTGAAAAGATCAAGACATTATACGACTTCGCTATTGAAATAATCTCTTCTCATGTTGAAAACGGGAGCAGAACCGGTCCCGAAACGTCCAAAGATGAGTGAAAATTTGATATTTTTTCTATATACCTTTATTTCCCTTCTCCAAAAATTTTTTCAATACAAATTGTCACTGACAAGCTAGTGAATTTTTCTTTTAGGCTCTCTGATAGGAAAATTCTTTAAACGCAGTGACATTTTGGGGCAAATCATCTGATTTGTCCTTACTACACGTATATTGGAATAATATTCATATTTTTATTTTATAGAAACGAGGAGAGAAAATCCCAAAAAATGTGGAATAATGAAAAAAAAAATCATTCCAATCGGTTGAAAAATGTAAGTTTTATAAGGGTGCTTCCATCTTAAATGGGTCACACTGTATTTCTACGAGAAAATGTATATTCGACATTGATATTGCACTCGTTTTGACCTATTGAACTCGAATATGTGGAAATATACAGGGTGTTCCATTCGAAAAAACAAAGTTGCTGGCATTTCCCGAAAAAACGGAAGTCCGCCATATTGGATTTTAATGTGATCAAGTCCGAAATGGTTGCTTATATTATGCAGCTGCACCAAATTTCAGAAAAATCCATTCACAAATGCAGAAGATTCGAGGGCCGATACTCTGTGTCACCCAGTTGATATATAAACCGTTCAATCATAAAAAAATCTGGGAAAAAAACAACACAGAACGGCCACTTCATCATTCAATTTGAGAATGTTAATACTTTTTTCTAGGAAAAAACAAAACAGTGTTGTTCCTCATTGCTCACCCCCTACGATATTTCACAATGATTTCTATAGTTTTTTTCAAGAACGGCCACTTCATCATTCAATTTGAGAATGTGAATACTTCTTTCTGGAAAAAAAACAACACAGTGTTGTTCCTCATTGTACTCAACCCTCTACTATTTTTCACATCATTTTTAGTTTATTTCAAGAACGGAAACTTCATCATTCAATTTGAAAATGTTAATACTTTGTTATCAACTCGAAAATGGTGTGATTGAAAATTAAATATATCATTTTTTGGCTCAAACGATCATTATGTACCTTTACTGAAGCTATAGGTTATAGGTTTTCTATTTAACTGATATCTACCTATATCTTTTATGATTTTTCGAAAAATTCACCTTTCTTGTTGTTATACAAAGTAGCACGAAACTACTGTCAAAAGATATGTTCATCTGAAACGAACTATTTTCATTGATATACAGGGTGTTTCATCTCAAACGAGCCACCCCGTATATTTCTTATCCCATAGTGAGTGGAAACATTTCATAAAACACTTAAGATGATTTTGTTTGAGGGATATTTTTTGACGTATATTCAACCTCTCAAAATTGAATATGGGAGAAGCGTTGAGTAATACTTCATTTGAAAGGTCTAGAAAGCCTCTTTACAACCGTGTATAAAGAACGGTAATTTGATGAACAGTTTTCGCCAAAAATCAATTTTATAGCTCGAATGAGCCGCCTCGAATATTTTGGTTATTTTTACACTGTAAAAGCCCATTTTTATCAAGTCCTTTTAACAAACTTGAACAATCTTCAAAAAATCACATTCCTAAAAAATGTTATATAATGCTCACAATAAAAAAATGACTGTTTAAATCAAATGTTCAATTGTCCTCCAGAATATACATCAAAAGATGTCACCCAAACAAAATCATTCGACGTGTTTCTGGAGATTTTTTCACTCATTATGGGATAAGAAATAAAAGGGGTGGTTCATCTGAGATGGAACACCCTGTATAAGTATTCCTAGAGGGGTGGGCGCAATTTAAAATGAGACACGTTGTATAATAATATTTGTACTCGAAATCTCAAAGTAATTTTTTTAGGTAGCCGCATTCGAACTGAAATACCCCGACACATGTTATTTACCTATAAGTATATAGCATATGTTGGAGCACAATCAAACTTTTTTTTGTCCTAGACGGCTATTATCCCCAATTAATATTCTGAATAAGTACCACACGTACGTACGTCCCTAATTTTTTGTAAGAAAGGTATGTTTAATTCCTTCCGAAGAAGTATTATTAGTTTTATCATTATTATTTTTGTGGAACCGACAAATTGGTATGTGTATGCTGGAGATAATAATTACTGTAACCAAAATGGTAACAGATATAGGTAATATATTTGCATTTCAGCGTTTCCGGGTGTTTTCCAAATGATAATATTTACGATGTTTTTTTGTTTATCGCCAATATTATGACAACATTTGTGTATGGTGTTTTTCACCTATATCTACTATCTATATTCTACTGAATCAAGCGTCATTGTGTACCTATAGAAATGAATTATTCATCTAATTCTAAACCTATGTCGTTAATTCAACCAAGTCGGAAAATTTCTGAAGAACTGATCTAAAAATATACCATATAAAAGTGATGGATATGTTTATATTGTCTATGAGAAAAATCTACCTGTTGGATCTGGGTTTTCAACATATCCCTCCGTACATATAATCATTTTTTCTATACGGCTCCATTGTGTTATTATGGAATGCATGTCAAATTCCAAGCAATGACAACTCTGTCTAATAGATGAGCATTACTTGACAGGAAAACAGATGGCCACTTGACGAAGAAATCGAAAATGCCGCTGTTATCTATTATAGCCGTAGAAAAATTATAGTGTATAACTTGCACGAATGATTGCAGCAAACTTCATTCTCGTAGGAAATCACTATCATTCCGTGCTCGTTAAACAATATACTATTTTGTACGGAGGAAGATATACCTAATAAATATCAGAAGACTTAATATCGCGGAATTTCAGTAAAAGTAAACCAAATGAGGATAATCCTTGATAAATAAACAATTCACATGCATGTGATGAATGTCAACGAATTATTCCATCCATAATATGTATGTATACGTATATTTTTGATGAAATTCTAAATTTTTCAATTTCTCAGCATAACTTGCGCATAAAACATATTGAATCATATTTATATATGATCGATTTAAAATACTACATTCATTTATATAAAAGTATACAGTGAGAACATCCTTATTTGAGATCACAATATATTCGAGTATTATGTATGCATCTATTAGTTTGAATAAAAAGTAAATATAGGTACCTATCTATAGTTGCACCTCCAGATATACAGGGTGTTGCGAAATTCGACCGACAAAGCTTGACAGGTGATAGCCCTCATGATTTCATAATCACTGAGATAGGGACATACGGTATTCATGTGTTCAGTTCTCGAGATACAGGGCGTTGAAGTTGAGAAATCAAAATAGTTTTTTCGCAATATCTCAAGAAAAATTTAATATAATGGATTCAAATTCGGTATATGGTTTCATCTTTCAATGGTTAATTTTTTGACCAGAAAGACATTCCGAGAATTTTATCCAGAGGTGCGCTACAGAGGATTGTGATAACTTTTCCTCCAATATTTTCTACGCCGCTGATGAAATTTCGATTATTTCCAATTCCTCGAATTGATTGTTCTATGTTGAAAAAATGCATCATCTCCAACGGAGCTAAAATGAACAGTTATCGAGATATTTGACCCAAAACAGAAGTTTGCATGGTAATTTTTCGTCTTCCTCCATCAGTAATAGAAAATTACAAAAAATATTGTTGCCTCTTCATGCGTGGAATAACTATTTCTGTTTGGCTACAGAATGATATCTGAATAGTATTTAATCTACTCAACACCAGAAAAATATTTTTGTAATTTTCCACTACTAAAAATGATATTACTATGCAATCTTCTATTTTGGGTCGAATATCTCGAAAACTGTTCATTTCAGCTCAGTTGAATGTGATGCATTTTTTGAAGACAATTGAGCAATGAATTCTTGGAAGTGGTAATAATTGAAATTCAATCAGTGGCGTAGAAAATATGGGAGGAAAAGTTGCCACAACCCCCTCTAGGGCACCACTGGATAATATGACCGGAATGGCTTCCTGGTGATGAAATGGCCCATTTAAAGATGAAACCATATACCGAAGTTGAATGCATTATATTCAATTTTTCTTGAGATACTGCGAAACAACAATTTTTAATTCTTATAAATTAACGCCCTGTATTTCGAGAACTGAACACTTGAAGACCGTATGTCCCTATCACAGTGATTATAAAATCACGAGGGCTATCACCTGTCAAGCGTTGTCGGTCGAATTTCGCAACACCCTGTAGAATAGATAGAGCAAATATATGGAACGTATTCAAAGATTCAAATAAAGTACTATTAACATCGTTCTGTTTCGTACATTACTCAGGGACCTTGAAAATATTGTCTATATAGGATATTTATGTAATTGAAAAATCAAAAGATTCCCATACTTATGTGTATACATGCACAATTAGTACTCAGATCTTTGCATGCAAATAAGAAACACTCAAAAAACCTACCTGTAATTCGTTAACAATCTTCTCAGTCATCAACTTATCGGGTGAGTTCTGTCCACTGCTCAGCTGCTGATGCATGTTCACCATCTGCTGTTGTTGCTGAGCCACCTGAGCAAGCGCATGCGCATGATTAGACTGCACATGGGAATTTGGACTTCCCATATGCGGCGAATGTTGCGGTTGCTGCCCTTGCTGCTGATTCTGGCCATTATTTTGCGGCTGCTGTTGGCTCATCTGCTGCTGGTTCATCTGTTGCTGTGATGGATTCGCCGGCTGGTTTTGATTTTGCTGTTGCTGTTGCGAGTTCTGCTGCTGCTGCTGTTGGTGTTGCTGCTGCTGCTGCTGTTGCTGCTGCTGCTGCTGTTGTGTATGAGCCTGTTGGTTGTTTGGGCCTTGTTGCTGCGTATTCTGGTTGGCCTGCTGAAGTGCTAGAGCTCCAGGTGTGACGACCTGGTGTATTTGACTGCTGTTACTCTGTTGGCTTGGAGAATGAGCAGGTATGGAGTTGGTTGATCCTGGTATTGGGGAATTCTGATTGGAATTTGACAGGTTCTGGGGCATATTCTGAGGGGGTCCTCTTGCCTGATTCCAGAAATCATTGTTCATTTTGAAAACTGGTCTATTGTTCACTTCCGCCATTGGTATTTGTAGCGGTGTCAGTGGTGTCGCCCTTAAGTCCAGGGCGGCGTTTTCTTGTAGTTTAAAGGAATTTTGTAGCCACTTCGCTACAAGATTTTCATGTTCAACTTTGAGGTTGCTAAGAATGTTTTGTTCCTCCGTCGTGAAAATTTTGACAATCTATTTGACAACGATTCGGAAATTAGCCGTCTTGCGAACGGCTGTATTTTCGTCTTAGAAAAAGTTTGTACTATATCTTCGTCTTCAATATTATTGCACTTCGTCTCAGTTTACAATGAATTGCCGCTCGTGTGTGGATCCAAAGCCGACTGAGATGTGTGTATAGGTAAATGTATGCGAGGAACTTGAAGGGTTGATCACCTCTCTCTGTCGTTTCGCTTTTTTTAACTAGCAGATGTTCTATAGCCGCCCTTTCATAGGTTGCTATAATTGTAGATATATCTGAAAACAATGCGGTCGTGAATGGAATGTAGGTATTTGATTTATCAGGAAAAAGTAGAACAAATGCAGAAGTTGATATCGAATACACAATTGCTGAATTAGATTGCCAAGTGCAAGGTGTCAAAGAATAACTTATTTCAGTAGATATATTATTTATATCATTTGATTTTATTGAATATTCCGTCAGACTACCTATATGGCTGCGACATTTTTGAACTTGTTACTCATAAATAAATCAACCTCGAAATCAACATTAATAAATCAAATGAGAAAAACTAAAGAAAAATCGATGATGCAACTGGTATTTCAAAAATGAAGGTTATTCTTTACTAAAGGCATACCATTTTCGAGTTGAATATTCACCTACGAAAATATATAGTAATAGGTATATAGGAAATAGCAGTCAGACTATATAGCCTCTCTGATTTTTTTTATACATATAGGTTGGTGCCTAATGTTTTTGACTTCAGACTTGTATATGTAAATTCATTTAAAAATACACACGTAAGTAAAGATGAACCCGAAAATTTTGATAGTACTCATATCTAATTCATATCAAAAGTTGAAGATGTACTCATCAGAACTTGGAGTAAGGTCATTCGTCTCCTAAAATTCGAGAAGAATATTGAAACATATTTTTTTCAATTTCCGCGAAGAGATTCTTTCATCAAAAATTTTGCTATAGGGACAATCATGTCTTTTTTCAAGCTGATGAAACATAAAATATAATCAACATTTCAATTTCCTAAGAAATTCAATTCCATGAGTTCTATAATGAATCCGGTATATTATAAAACATTTATTTTCGATCTGCAATTTGTTTGTTTGCTCAAGTGTCCTTTCAGTGATATTCTCGAGGATATTCTAGTATGAATGTCGGTATGGAAAGTAATTCATTATTGAAGAATGACAACTTCTATATACCTACACGAATAATAAGAAGATTTAGTTATTCAAAACCATCAATCCCTATCTTCCAACAAGAATCAACAATCCAATTGAAGTCATCATAATCATAATGATATTCAAACATGAACAGAACATTCAAAATATTACTCACATATTCTGTAAAAATTATTGCACCAGCCCACAGTAAACAAACACCTGAGCAAATTTCTATCACACTAAATTCGCGCCAAGAATTTGAAAAATAAAACTTTAAAATCCGGAAATTCCTATTGCCACTACGATACCTTTGGAAAGAAACCAATGATTTGAAAATGTCTTGCGGTTGACAAAAGTGAGAGAGGAAGCTTGATTTTTTTTTCTAAGTTATGACCTGGCACTTCGCGCGGTTGAAGTTCAAGCGTCCCGACGCGTCCTAGCTATAAGAAAGTCCGTAGATAACTAAGAAACGCGTCGCCGTCTCCAAAAGACGTCCAGCGTCTAAAAGCGACGCCTTGTTACTAAGAATATAAGGGTAAAATCTCACCGACGGAGATGGACTTATCCAAGGCCAATGAAACTGACAGAGACCGAGGAAAAATAGTCGCGAAATAAGACAAAGACCTAAATATGCAAGTTTAATATTTCGAAGCGAGAAAGGAAACATTCGCAAGGGTTGAAAGCGAGACGGATTTACACAAGATGAACGAGGTGGAGAGAGAAAACCGAAACCTTAGAATTTCATCTTAGCGCCACGCATGCGTTAGCTCGTAAGGAGTACGGATGTCTATCCCCACCAGGAGGGTTGAGAAAAAAATGCTCCTTGTCATTTTTCTACGCGCCCCGCTACTTTGAGGGGAGTACATCGGACAAGTTGCGAGGGTGTTTTTCTAACGGACTCGGACGGTTATAGTGGACAGCGTGCCATCAGTTTGGAATTAGAGGTTAGGGTGAGTCGGGGATGAAAGATGCACGTGTCTCTTTGGGGTTTTTATGATTGTGGTTTTGACGCGAGCTTTTTATACGGGATGTACCAAGGTTACTATGTTACTCTTGATTCAACTCCGGATAACAGAACAAGTTATCGAGTATGTTATTGGTGTTTACAAAACTGTGATGATCTAGATTTCGTTGATTGAAAATTATATGGGTTCCTTTGTTTTTTAGTGATATTGGAGTATTTCTCGAATTCCTTCAATATATTTTATAATTTGTCGTGACTTCCGACTACTTCGGATATATATTCCTTTTTTTTTTCTATAATTGAAATCATTTCGAATTAATATCTCAAACGTAGTGAATAACGTGTATTTCATTTATACCCATGTATTTATATCTACATATTCGGCTACTGAATTATAGTGGGTGTCGTTCATATAATGTGAAGTATATTCAAGTAATTGGTATGTGCACGAATCATTTTTTTTTTCATACTTTTTATGAGCAGTTGATCGAAATAGTACAACTGATGAATAGTATATATACCGTATGCCTATATATATACTCCATTAGTTATATTATTTGATATTTTCATGAATATTATGGGTCGATTTATCATGAAAATATTCAGAATATATAAGGAAGTAGGTAATAGGAAAAATGAATTGAGAACCTTCATATATATCTTCTCTACAAGGACTTATTATCATTAATGTGCACGTGAGTGAATATTATTCATTGAACGAATGAATTTAGATGTTATTTGTGCATAATTTTCACTTCCTTCGCTTTTGCATTGTCTGTATAAAATATACAGAGTAGGGTGATTTGTTCTTTATATTCCACTTATGAGAGACATTACAGAGTGCCAGTGATCTTTTTTGGAAAAATATATTCAACAAAGATTATTGATACTGTTGGTATTATTATAATTATCAATATTGTGTATGGAATTACCCTATCGTGAAAATTGCCAAGATTTGTTGTTTCAATCCATTATCTTTATATATAGATTTAAATCCAAATAATATACTTCAAAAACATTCCGATGAGTTTAGTTGAATATGACGCACTATATTTTAAAATATTATTATTAATAATTTTTAATTTAAGGTTTATTACTGAAATTTCAGGAACATTAGAGAACATTGATTCTTTTTCAACCATAATATAATAATATGATATTCCATGTCTACATATTTTCAAATGAAACTGAGTGACTTTTGCCAATAGATATATTACGCGCTTCATTTTTGACAAAAAAATTATCAGTTAAGTTAATAGGAACTAACAAAATTACCCTCGGAATTACCACGATAATCTCCCGTTTGCTCTTAGCAACATATACAAAAGGGAGCCTTCTATTTGGATGAAGATAAATTCATGAAATTTTCTTTAAAATCGTGAAGATAATTCGACTGTTGTATTTTATGGTGCAAGAGCCGATGCAATCTTATATTTGAATGAGGCTATAATCAGTGAATAAATTAGGAATAGCTCTGATAATATTAAGGTTGAAATATAAACAAATCATACGTCATTTATTTTATATTTATAACTATCGGGAATATCGGGATATCAAAATTTATAATTGCCACAAGTCATATTGGTCTGGAATATATGATTGATGAAAACACCACTAAATTTACCTCCGGGTAATCTGGAATTCAACTCGACTTCCTCTAAAATGGAATATCCTTACAAGTATCACTCACATCATATCGTCCCCCTTATCACGTAGGGGCGAATCTGATTTCTGAATATTTTACAGGAGAGAGAAAAAACGAAAATGGATGACAATTGCATCGCCCTACATTTCTTAATTTGTAATATTTCAAAATAATATCTTAGCATTACAACAGGAACAATATGTTCCTCATACTGATTGTTGTATAAGAAATGTACGAGTTGTTGTTTTTTTTTTATACAAAAAAGTTTGCATATACGCCCATACGTGAGAATGCATTCATTTGGTTCTGTGAGATAGGTCTACTATAATAATAGCGGAATCAAAGTATGAGAGTCGTAAAAGACACAGATTTCATGAAACCTAAATATGTAATTATTGTTATAATAGGAAAAGAACAAAGTATGACAAAGTCCTGGTGAATATTACAAAAAAAATACAACGATTTATTCACTCTTGGTCATGAGGCAACGATCTGAAAAATTCTTGAAACTCTGGCAGTCTAACGACAGGTGTTTCTCCTTTACACAATGACATGAGATCTTCATATTTTCGTTTTTTTATCTTCGGTGCTTCAGAATTCAATGTTGTGAGCTGTATATCGGATATATTTTCTTTCAAACGTTTCAGAGTAATGGAGTCGTATGCTGTATCAAGATGGCTGGTCTTGAAAAATATTTTCTTTGGGTATTGTTTGGTGACCATTACTTCCATAACATCCGGCCATTTCATAACATTGCCTCTTTCGGTTTCTCTAATTGTCAAAACTCGAAGTTTTTTTGAAAACGACTTAAAATCTTTGAACTCACCATAACTCATTGGCACAACACAATATGGCTGTTTTCTACGTGCTAAACGAATTATAGGATGAAGCTGGGAAGGAATGTAAAGGTCTCCTGCAGCAGAAATCGCACTGGAAATAGCACTATGTGCTGAATCACCTTCACTTTGGCCATGATTGGTTTCAAAATACCGTAGAGATATTTCCTCTAAAGATGATAATTTAGTCAAAGAATACATTAACATCGCTGGAATTATAGAATTCTTA